TGCTTTCCCTCTAGACTGTTAAAATACCCTAAAAAGTCTCGGATTTATTTAAAAAAAACAATCTATTTTTGATTTGTTTTGTAGAAAAACCTTCTGAAAGTATTTAGAACAATATACTTGCAAAAAATGCATTCCTTTAAGCTTTTTTTAGGATTTATATTTAGTTACATATTTACAATATGGCTTTACGTAACAACTGCCACTGGAGACAGGTATACATTCCAAACCTTATTACCTTTCTTGCATAGATTCAAACTAGTATACCAATTCCCTAGGGCATCATAGGAAATCAAAGACAGCAGGGTTGAAAAGATTTATTAGGGTTTCTAGTCCAACATTATTCTAATGAAGTATTAATTAAACCCAATCTACAGTGACTCACCAGTGTATGCTTGTGATAAGCACTATTGGTGAAGTGAGGTTCCTCTTCTTCAGGAGGGTACAGATAAGCATTAGTTTGGCTGTTTCCCCTTTACCACCCTTCACAAAACTTACAGGAACATATTTTGGAGTATGGGACTTTGACCCAGATTTGGCTGAAATTGACCAAAAGACACAAGTTTGCTAGAGGGGGAGGTCAAGCCAGCAACCTTATGACAGAACCGTATTAAACTTTGCTTTCTAAAAAAATCTAACTATAAAGAGACCAGACCTGTTCTGGCAAAGGTGCCTACTTTGGAACCCGAGGCAAGCACACAAAACACCAGTAGATAGAAAAAGACCAGATAAGCTCAAAACAGTATTTTTAAGCCTGTGAAGTGTTCAAGTTCTCCCCAAGGATTTTTTTTAGGCCAGTCAGTGCTGAAGAAACCCCCTAAGAGTCCTGCAAATGATGCAAGAACTTGTATCAAAAACACCGCTAAGAAGCCAGCTCTCAGCTTGATATTCTTAGGGAAGTAAAAAACAAACAAAACCTTAAACCAGTGCTTGGCCTTCAATGAACTAAAGTACACGGGGAATTAAAAAAAACCCTGAACTTTAAAAAAAAATAGTTTTTATTCATTGATGATGTAAAATGTTTTCTGTCATTTTGGATATATTAATTTTGGGTAAGTTACCATCATAGTTATTTCTAGTTCTCACGCATTTGTGTTGTCTGCTTTTCTGGAAATGGTGGAAACATATAGGTTTGTGGCTGTTACAAGTTTGAGAAAAGTATTTATGTTTACATACTTCTTTTTATTATTGACTGAGCTTGGTAGCTTCTAATTGACCTACTTCTTGTACCATCTTGACAAGAATGGGTTTTGTGCAAAGAACAAAGGTGAACAGAAAAGGCACCTTAATACTAATTTGGTAATACAATACATAAATGTAGTATTTCAGCTCAAAACAGTATAGGAAAAAACATTCTTTAGTGCCAGTATCAGTGAATGAGATTGTTCACAAGTCTGCCATAACCTTGAGCAAATCACTTACCTCCGCTGAATTTTTGTTATATCTGTAACACACGGATGATCTTTCAGTTCCCTTAAAATGTTTCTTATCCTTAAACTTTAAAATTAAATTTATAGTTAATTCACTGACTGGTAGAAATGGCAATTGGGGTGTCACACTTTTTACTTAATGTGGTGAGGGCTGCTGCTGAGATGACTAATTCAGAGCACTCTTCTAAGCTCTAGATAACAGTGGGAAAGGGATATACTAGACTAAATAAAATAGATTATATCCAGGTAAAAAAGAAAGGACCTCATAACTTGCCCTCACTTGTAGAGGAACCTACCAGTTACTGAGGATATCAATAATACCTTAGGTTGCTTTTTGTCCTAAGACATTGGATGGAGAAGGAAAATTTAACAGTGCCTTATCACAACCTCAATTTGTGGCTAAGCCAGCATAGTTCAACTGTTGGCTCATGGGCTGAGTTCCACCTCATGGACATTTCCTTGGAGGAGATAGGGAAGAGCTGCTTCAGCAGTTCATAGTAGCCTAACAACTGAATGCTGCCTCTCAAGATGGTTTTAAACTAGAACAGGGTAGGTTCAGCCTAGAGGTAAGGAAGAAATTTTTTACAATGAGGGTGGTAAAACACTGGAACAGGTTGCCCAGAGAGGTAGTGGAGGCCCCAAGGTGCTGCCTCATCCACGCACATAGCCCTGCGAATGGGTAGCTGCCACATCAATGCAGCACATGAAGTGCAAAAGAAATCTCACAAACAGGAATCTGACTGATCATGTCAACTCTGGGATAAGCAGCCTGACAAGTTTTGGGGTTTTGCAATTTACCGAGTAGGAAATTTCCTTTCACCATGCATACAATGAAAATATGTTTCCAGTCACTTCCACAATACAGAGACAGCAACTATTAAAAAACCCATGCAGCTTCATTATTTGTATAAAAGTCTGCACCACTGGTAACTTAGTAGTGGAAAGCCTGGGGAAACAATTGCAATGCAGAGAAAAAGAACGGGGGGAAGGGGGGGAAGTCAGGACTTTAGCTAGAGAAAGAAAAAAAGAGAGACTCCAGTCACACTTCCTTAGTACCTCTTACTCCACATGGTTTCTTCCAGCATACGCTTCTCAGTCATGCCTCAGACTAAATCTGCATTTGCCTCCTTCAAAGAATTTACAGCTGCAGTTCCTTGGATATTTGGCAGAGTATCGCCAACGGTCGTAATTTAGTTCAGCACCTGAGGTCCTGTGTTTTGTCAGTGACTACTATGGAGTTAACTGGCACCTCAGCAGTTTTATTTTTTTTTTCTTTAGAAGTGCCTTGTAAAGTGTCCAACAAATACTTGAAATTGCATACATATTTTGCATTATTCATATGTCCACTGGAGTCTTCATATCACAACCTGTCATCCATTCTTGGAATTGTTAAGTAGAACCATTGAATCATAGAATTGTATAGTTTGGAATAGACCTTTAAGATCATCAAGTCCAACTGTTAACCTAACACTGCCAAGTCCACCACTACACCATGTCCCTAAGTGCCACATCTACATGGCTTTTAAATACCTCCAGGGATGGAGACTCAACCACTTCCCTGGGCAGCCCGTTCCAATGCTTGGCAACCCTTTCAGTGAAGAAATTTTTCCTGACATCCAACCTAAACTTCTGCTGGCACAACTTGAGGCTGTTTCCTCTTGTCCTACCACTTGTCACTTGGAAAAAAAAAAAAAAGAGACTAGCACCCAGCTCCTTTCAGGTAGTTGTAGAGGGTGATAAGGTCTCTCCTCAGCCTCTTTTTCTCCAGGCTAAACAACCCCAGTTCCCTCAGCTGCTCTTCGTAAGACTTGTGCTCCAGACCCCCCACCAGCTTCATTGCCCTTCTCCGGACACACGAAGTACCTGCCCACACCAGATCGCTCACTCTGTTCCACTCTCAGGTGAGCATTCATAGATGTATTTTAGGCAGGACTACTCTGTTCACAGTGTAGTTGTCTCCGTTCGCTTCAATTCCTGCAACTTTTGCCTGTCCGCACGCTTCCACAGGTAAACCTCATCAGCTCCAGCTCTCCCTAGCGTCCGCAGAGCTGGCGTGAGACAGTGCTTCCACGCTCCTCCGCCGCGACAGGCACCCGCTACCCGCGCAGGCGGC